GTAACTAAATTAATTATTACTCGTAGTGCCCGCGACTTCGTCCGCGTGTAATACTGACTTTGGATAGTTCTTCATAGCTCCTCCCCCGTAGGTGATAACGTAATAATAGCCAAGTGTAGACCAGACCTGTTAGTAATATTCATGCAAAATTTGAAGTAAATCCATACAGTACTTTTTGAGTTTATCCCAGACATACATATGTATAGACAAAGAAACAAAAATTCTAAAATTCATATTTATGGCTTAGGTATCGATTGTAGATCATAGCTCAAGTATTAGTTTTAAAAATATTCAGTGTACAGTGTTCACTTTCCTACGATTTTAGTATATTGTAGATGATATATGATGATATATAATAGATGTTTTCTTTCACACGTACACACGTAAACCGACAATATATCAATTAATTTCGTTTATCTCACGACAGATTTAATATGAATTTATTATATGTATGAATACAGCTAATTGTAATAATAATTTGTCTTTTGTATTAAGTCTAACTTCATGTAAGAATGGCAACAAACAACCCTTAATAGGTACCAAACGCCATTAAAAACATTGGTCCTTAAATTGTTCGCAATAAATACTTTTTGATGGGTCATAAAATTGCTTTAAAGCACCAAACGAGAGAAGGAATTAAGTGCATAATGTTATTTTAAATCATTAGCTGTATAACAGTGTCGTTAACTTTAGTGCCTTTTCACACGTAGCGGTTGTCGGGTAGCCGGGGCGCCGGGTAACTGGCGGTGCATGACAATTTGGATACAAATTACGCAGGTACGTGTGGAAGCTACTGTGCCGGAGGCTACCCGGCAACAGGAACGTGTGAAAAGGCACATACACTAAGGTTTATGTGCTTTAATACTTTCGGAACCGTCTAGAACTTGTAAGAGTAATTGTGAAAAACAAAGGTTTATTCACATACGACTGTAGGACATCTCTTTTGAGATTGCAATCTAGATGTCTATACAATAGAAGTAATAGGTTGATTATAGACAGACGTGTTCTATCGTCGATTGTAATATTGTTTACCATCAGGCCATCAGAGATAGAGGCCAACCGCTCAACTATAAATTGAAAAAGAGCCTTAAACATAATTACACTTTATTTAAAACTTTATCTTCTAGAAAAACAAAAATTTTGACACGAATTGTCCATTATTGCTTAGCAATAAAATTCGAGTAGCTCCAAATATCTGGAGGAGCCTTATAGCCTTTCAATTTATATAAAGTAAGGTAAAATATTAAAGGGCAACAACCATTAAATACCAAAGTGTTTGACATTAACCAAGCACTGGACTTTATGAATCAATACTTGTCGAGATTACTATCGCAAGAAAATTGAGTTCAGACATTTTACTAAGAACTTGTGATTGAATTATTTCGTGCAATGCAAGTCGTTAAGTGATTTTCGATTGCCATGAGTTGGATAAAAGTTTAAGTTCTATGTTTTTAGGATTTAGTTACGATTGCCAATTATTTAATTTTGTAATCGTATTTAAAGTATTTTATTACGTATTTCATTTGCAAACTTTTTGTGCTGCACAACTTGTAGCTAACAGTTAAACTCATAATGAGGAGCAAGAGATTTCAGTTAGTAATAATAGATATAAAAATTACGTATAATTATAAATAACCACACTAGCTATTTATCATAAGAGGTAACCAGAGGTACAAATAGTTGCTGGTCTACTGCCTCGTCGGCCCAGTGGTGGCAAGTGCGAGTCTCGGGTTCGATTCCCGGGTCGGGCAATGTATTACTGGGTTTTTAAAAATTCTCAGTAGTAGTACGGTGTCTGGAAATGTGCCCGGTATATGGCAATAAGCTCACCCCCTATTACATGGGACTATAACATAAATAGTGAAAAGTGGGTGTCACAATGTACAGTGGCATTAAGTGCCGTGATATGTACTTCTGCTAACATAAAAAAGTCACGCATAAACGGTGTTATGTTATGTACCATATTACAGTATGTAATATATTACATTAGTTGCTGGCCTATTAAAGCAAACTAAACTAATTACAAAACACCAGTACACAATATTTGCCTCTGTACAATTTTAGAAAGAAGAATACTACATAAATGCCCGCCTCTTTGCTTCATAAGCAACTTTATGATTATTCATCCTACTTATTTGCAAACCAGTGACCGTAAAATTGAAACTCTGTTTAAATTATAAAACTGGACTTGTTTCAGCTTTTATTTGCTTAATTTTATTTGCATATGACTAAGAAAGAGAACATTTAGAATATGCTGGGGATGTTTGTTCTATTAACTGTTACTAATTGACTTAAAAAGTCTTTGAATGTGCTTTGAATCAAAGACATCTGTGCTCAAACAACTTAATCCCTGTTTCTATTCAAACTATTCGTACAATGGTCTAGATTTTAAATAAGTACTTCAAGTAGCTTCATTGTAAAAGCTCCAGATGAACATTTTCATTTCTGCCTTCAATCCAATTACGACTTTATTTTAACTGAATTAAATTAAAAGTAACTCTGAAAGCTACAAACAAATTGCTAAAGAGTCATGGTAAAAGATTCATCGGATTTTCTATCTACTTCGACCTTTCCTCTTCTTCTTCTTTTTGTCGAAATCCATTTCCAATTTTCAAACTTTTAATGACATGTTAAATTCTTATTTGGGAGTTAACTTTTCTGTTACATATTCCTTACTTTTGGTTGGAATTTTGCGTTATTAGGGCTTGGATGCAGATTAAAAGTAAGAAATAATAATGCATGATTATGCATGATTTTAGTTGGTCACAAATAGTCCGCATACCTATTTTTAGATTCCACCTTGAAAATTGTGGTATGGTTAGGAAAGTGGGGGCTTAGCAAGAGACAAAAATAAGCCTATGTGGTTCCTTTCAACTATCTTCACTTAAAAAATCACATCAATTCTTTGCTCTGTTTTGCCGTGAAAGACGGACAAATAAACAGACACTAACCAAACGAATAATATATATTTTATGTGATAAATGGCGGTTTCTGTGTAAACGTATCTATGTAGATAATGGTATATCTTTTAGTTCTAGGACACAGACTAAAGTATTTGTGTGGGGCTATCTATGCGTGCTGAACGGAAGAGAAAATTAAGTGAAATTAAATTATTATGTTTTCGGCTTACTCACGTAGTAATTTGACGAAGAACTCGACTAGTTTATTTAAATTGTTAAAAATAACATATTTCGTAACTAAAATTACGAACGATTTTTGTGATAAAATAAAGATCCATTAGTTAATATTTTATTAAAAATAAAACCTTGTAGAGATTATCGTCGAGGAAAATATCAACTACTGCCTGTTTGTTCCTTTTGGTAAACAGGATATTTTCATTGTTTATTTCTGACACGTGTTTCCTATTCGCAAATAATAAACTGTTTGTTATTTGAGTTATATTCCTAGCGATATTTTAATCCAATAGCTGTTTCCTGCGGCTTTCCTCGCGTGGAATTTGATTATATAACGTTCAAATGTTCAAAAACCCTATACCATCCCTTATTAAGTACAATTTTCAACAGTTCGCTAACAACTGTTTGTATTTAAATCATTGGCCTATATACAAAGTTTAGTATTCTTCAGATCTAAACTAATGAAGTCCTATATAAATTTTAAGCCCTTATTTCATCATGTATCAAGTAATATATGAAAATTTTTTAAAACGATTATTTGTCTATTCTACGTCAATAACCGATATATTATTATACATAACCTTGCTTATTTTTTTAGTTTATACAACTAATTATCATGCCCCTATTTTGACAAGTGGTGTGCATGTTGTATCTATGTAAACACACCCACGACACAGGAGAAAATCTTAGAGAGGGACCACGTTTTCTTTTTTTTTAAATCCTTTGTTAGTAAGTGTCCTATACATCAAAGTGAATATATAACCAGAATATAATATACCTCTAATAATATAGAAACGATAGTTTGCGCTTAGCGATGATGATTCAATCAGTCGTTCAGAATAAGTATATAAGTATACATTTTACTTCGTATTAGTCAACAGCTCTAATATCCAATCTGTGTTTGTGTTGATCAATTATTGCTTTGAAAATAAGATAAACTCACTATCACTTTAAATATCACATATCAGAGATATCTATTGTTCCAGATGAACTTAAAAAAGTCACCAACCAGTTTATAGAACAGGTTGTGGCTAAAGAAGGATACACCAAAAACCATCAAGGCAATACTAACACAAAAATAATGTGCCACAAAATAGGTAATATCCAACAAAATAATGTTCAAAAAATTAATGTCCAGCCGACTAGAACTTGCAAAATGGTTCCCTGGATACTCCACAAATGCGGGCACTTTGTTTACCTACAAACTGTCGTCTGAGTCAAGCACACAAGTTTGCTCGGATTATCTTTTATCTTCACGGAACAATGAGCCTCGACCCTTCCTGTATTCTGTTCCTATTTAAATATAAGATTTTTCCGGTATCCGTAGAAAAGTGAGAATGTGGTATCTGACTACTGCTGTGGCATGCGTTGTGTGCGACCATGGGTACTAAACTTGAGGCCTGTTATTTCTAAATTTAAAGTGCCTTAAACTGTCAAACACCAAGCGGTCACCGGTGACCGCAACCTATTGTTCTATAATTGTGTCTACAAAACCGGTACTAGACGAGTTAACTTCTTTTAATAACCGTGGTGATTAACCCGTGGTATGCAGGAACGGAGAGCTACGCGAGACACAAGATGTTTTCTAATTGTATCGCATATACCGGCAGATAAGAAGTTAATACTCAAACCGTCTCCATGTGAGAAGAGGCCTTTAGTCAGCAGTGGTCACTTATAGGCTGATGATGTGAAACTCGAACACTTTGAGTCCCCTAACCTAACAATATATTATCTTGAAATGTCTGTTTATTGTAGGTATATCAAATAGAGAAAGCAGAAAAAGGGGGTATGATAATATAGGATCTAAAAATCTTTTTATAATAAATATTCGTTTCTATAATAGATTTTCTTCTTGATTCTTTCCAGATTTACTTGTTCTACCCCGACGAGCTGTACCAGTACATAGGACCTAAAGGTGTGGTCTCACTGCAACTCCTGGCATACTGTTCATCATGCTGCAATCCAATCACCTACTGCTTCATGAATAGGAAGTTCAAGCAGGCGTTTATCAGCCTCATCAAGTCTTTTCGGATATTTAGGTAAGTTTCAAATTATAAAATTATGCTATCACTATAAGTTGTAGCACTTCTTGAAAATAAAAATTATACTAACCGAGACATACTAAATTAATTAAAAATCGCGGGTTACTCATGTGAATATACTGAGAAAAGAAAAAAAAAAGCTCTACTAGTTTCGAACCACAGAGGGCGGCTCTTTTTGAGGTAGACCACTACGTACTGCCTACTGTCAAAGGTAGTTTAGCAACTGAATGCAATGACAGTCGATCCTCGATGCGACTACAATGCAGTGTAAGCAATAATGGCAGCAAAGCTATCCAATACGTGGAATAAGAAGTCATTTAGTATTTTTGGTTGAGGTATCCATATATTACCAATAATATAATTTCATTATACACGAAGTACTTCTCTGGTCGAATAGACAATAGTGCATGTGAACTGAACAAAAGGCATTTGTTCTTAGGTTTGTGAAATCACTGTTGAATGTCCAACTCTAGAAAATTCTCAATTATACGAGAATAAACGAACATGACATTGCATCACTCCTTTTATCACACCTTAATGCACTTAATGCCACAATTTAACACTAATTTTTCACTATTTATGATATGAGTCCCATGTAATGATGGTGAGCCTATCTCTATATATCGAGCACATTCGTGCAACTACTGACATTTTTTTTAAATCCAGTAATATTTTGCCCTACCTGGAATCGACCCGGAGACTTGGAGAGATTTGGAAAAAGTGCGTTGTATTCGATCGTTCTTAATTACCTCGTGTGTTCATAAGTTTTGAGACAAATTAAAAGTTGCATATCTTTTTAAATAATAAACTTATATTTATAAAAACAATAACAAACATTAAGTAGATAGTAAGTAAAAATTAAATATAATTATTATTCAAAATGACCACCCCTGTTTTTAATACATGCCCTTAGACGATTTGGCCAGTCATCAATGGCGGCACGAATCTTTTCCAGAGGAATTCGCTTCGCTTCTCGGACAAGAGCTCGCTTAAGTGACTCCAAGTTTGGGTGGGACTTTCGGCAGGCTCTGAGCTCTAATTCGGTCCATAGAGAATAATCCAGCGGGTTGAGGTCGGGGCTGGAGGAGGGCCATTCGTTCGCCGCAATGAAGGCCGGCACATTTTCCTTCAGCCAAGCTTGGGTGGTTTTAGCCTTATGGGATGGCGCCGAGTCTTGCTGGAAAACCCAATACTTGTTATGGAATAGGGTATTAGACAGGGGTTTCACAACAGTCTCTAGAATGTCACTTTGATAATTTTTGGCTTTCACCTTGACGCCTTGTTGGCAGAAATGAAGCTGAGTGACACCTTCGTACGAAACTCCCCACCATACCATGACACTAGCCGGATGATGAGTACGCGAGACATTCCGTGCTGAAGGTGGGACATCCTTGCTACTTTTGGCATACACTTTATTGTTTTGTCGATTGAACTTTTCTTCGACGGTAAAGATTTTCTCGTCGGTGAAGAGTATCTTCCTCGCATCGTGTCTCCTAAGCAGTATTGGACAACGTTCGCGTCGCAATTGACGAAGGCGATCGTTTAAAAAGTGTACTTTTCTACGGCTATACGCCTTAACCTTGAGATCATATTTCAGTATTCTGTTGACTGAAACGCGCGAAATATTGGTCTGCAGAGCGAGTTTCTTCTGAGTGCGACATGGATTTCGGCGAAGTCGCTCTCGGATGATTTTAATGTTCGCAGGCGTCCTCACAGAGCGTGGACGACCACTTCTTTGCCGATCATGTAAAGAACTTGTCTCCTGGTATCGTTTAATAGTGTAATACACGAAGTTACGGCTCACACCAAAACTTTTCAGTTCTCGGAAAATGTCCATAGGTTTTCTTCCCACCTTAAATAATGAAATGACGGTCGCACGTAATTCTTTTGTTCCCTCCATTACGAGAAAATTTAAATAAAATAATCCGAAATGATAGATATTAAAAGTTAACATTCCAAATTCAAAATTAGAAAAAGAAATATACAGCAGCCAGTAATTTTTATTTTATTTTTATAAGCAAAAAGTTTGTCTCAAAACTTATGAACACACGAGGTACATAAGTGGGTAGTTTTTATTACGTGTGTTTCTTATAGTATGTAGCTGTAAGAAATGAATTAATATGATGATGACGTCACCAAATACCTAATATGACTAAGACTAAGAGCTAACCTTGAACTGTTTGAACAGTGGGATATTGTATAAGCAAATCTATGATTAGTTATCATGACAGAACGTGACCAATCTAACTTTTATTGGCAATGAGCGCCCATTTGCTGATTTTACTCTTAACCTACTAACTCGCTTTTATTTTGATAGTCAATCGTAAAGCCTAGGGTAGTAAAGGTCTTACACATGCTAATTTTAAGCACAAAAGCATGTTTAACTCGTCGAGTACCGGTTTTGTAGACACAATAGGCATGACGACTATTTTTTAATTTTTTGTCCGTCTTTTAGATATTTTAAAAATCTTCGATACGTATTTTTTCTTTTTTCTCGTATCCAAAAAAACATGTAGATATTTTGAGTTAAAATGACGCGTGACGTCACAATTAGGTACGATTTATCCGTAAGTGTGACGTCAACACCCCCCACTCCCTAACTTTAATGCGGAATAACTACGTGTTCTTCTGTTAATTTGATAAAACAAAAAATACGTGTCTGATATTTTCGTGCGATTTTAATGACGGACTAATTACTTTTTTGATTTTTTTACCCTGTCGACACGCCTATTATATGTAGAACAATAGGTTGCGGTCACCGGTGACCGCTTGGTGTTTGACAGTTTAAATACGTTCTTTTGGCTCACTAGATGGCGTAAATTCTAAATGAGATTTTTTGGCCAATCATAGCAGCTGTCAAATATTGAACGTTTAATGCTGTGTTGTGACAATAACTAATTCCCTTTTTATATTTATTTTTAACTTTCTTCCTTTACTTTTCTTTTTTTTAGCAGATTGACGTGTTGTAATTAATAGTATTATTTTCCTTTGAAATATTTTTCCTTGCTTCCGTCCGTGCGTCACTGCTAGGGTGCCAACTGAAAACCAGTGTTGGGTACTTACTATGTCCAGCTCATGTTGAACTGGCAAGCCTTTTTGTCATGGGCATGTTGCCACTTTGTTCTTCTTTTTTTTCGCTTTTTTTTGTTGTTGATTTTATTGTTATTTTATGTTGTTTGTGTATATTTGGTGCATATGCCTAATGGTAAATCAATTATTTTTCTTTATTTCTTTTTATTGGACGAATAACGAGAGGTTTACACTAGTGCCATCTAGCGACAAAAATACGATAGTTCCCATTGAGCACTTGTCACTTAATAGCACGTGTATAGGAATGCTCAAAATTAGCATACTCATTTCAGGCATGTGTGCAAATCTACAAGCGTTCGATGTTTGAATATTTATGAACATGCTCAATAGAACACCATGCTATTTTAGAGCATGATTGTATAACAGTACCTTTACTCATATTCTCAAATTGCTCACTCTGGAGTTCTGGACATTGTCAGTTGTTTTGGGTTACCAATTCAGACATGTTAACCCACACATACAGTAAGTAATTGCTACTCATGTAGTGGCAATTACTTACCATATAACTCACAGTCAACCTTTGACGATTGATAACAGCACAGAGGACAACACATTTATACATTTTAAGTGCATATGTGCTAATTACTTATTTCTTTTGGAATTTCGTTCAGTAGACCTGAAACTGAAAAAGTAATTAAAACATAAGACATAGTGTGTAATAAAAGACAATTTTACAATAAGAAAAAAGAAAACTATAACCGAAACAAAATAATAGCTGTATTACAAATTAATGTATATTTTATATTAATATTATCTATGTATTTAAAAAAGAATCCCTTTATTTTTCCTTGGTCATAGCAACACGCGGGAGTGGCTGGACCGATTTCACTTATTTTTTTTTGTTGTATTTGTTATTATTAGGAGGAGCTTCTTACCTAAGACAGAAAAAATGGTATGGTAATGGGGGTAATTGGGCCTCTTGACCTATGGATATTCTAATAGTCTTGATGCATTTCTACTCGTTTATCGATCCATCCATCTGATACTTGTAAAGATTTGAACAAACGAACTATTCAGACGCTGTAAATACCTAAGTTTAGACGACTGTGAATTCCCGGTCGACTTCAAAACTTCATAAGTTGTGTCTTAGATTTTCTAAAAGTTTCGTTAGTTTTGTATATTATTAGGATTTGCCCTAGATAATGTTTATTCCCTAAAGAGACATTATAGTAACATGATATGCTAGTTACAAATATGGAACTTGTGAATTCAGACGAGTCTATTGCCATTTAACTCGTCGAGTACCGTCATACTCAACGTCGGTACTTAACGAGTTAATGCATACAATGCTATAAATAAAATAAAATAAACCTATACTGCTGTTCCAATTATGTATTAAATAAATGCACATAGAGTAGGGACCTAACTAACCACTCGAATAACACTCGACATACATACGTTTCGCTCCTACACGGAGCATCTTCAGGAGGTGTTTACTCGACGAGAAATTTGTGGAAGAGCGGAACATAATTATGTCGAGTGTTGTGTGGCGGAAGGAGCTGCATACTGCATGCTGCAAACTCATTCATACAACGGAATCTATACATACAATAAAATCGCAGGAAAGTCAAAGCTGTAAATTAAATATATATATTTTTTATTAATATCTACAATCGATATCGCATTTTTCTCCTCCTCTTATAATATCTTCTGATTCACTTCGTCGCGGGAACCAACACAGTTATTCCCTGAGACGCGCCAGACTTCAGTGTTCCGGTGTTTTCATGGTTGTATCTTCTACTGTAGATCCTGGCTTACAGGAATTGCCGCGGTTTCGGGAGGTTGTGGCGGCCTTGTCCCATAAAAAATCGATAGAAAAGCCAAAAATATGAAGTTGTAGAATATTTGTCTGTATGTGCGGACTAAAATCAAAAAGTTCTAAATGTATTTACGTAAATGGTTCGTGA